ATTCAATTTTTTTTTTTTTAATTATTCTAACTGTAATAAATTCCATAAAGATCTGTGTGGCTCAGGCATGCTTCCTACTAGCCTGTGGCTTGCCTGAAAGCTCTCTCAGCTCTTACATGTCACCAATCACCTCTCAGAGACTCCAGTGCTAGCAGATCTCAGAACAAGCTGAGTCACCAGTGGCAGGCCACCTGTTAAGTTCTAGCTGCCCTTAAGCCTTGCTCAAAGTGCAGGTCTGCGCCATACATGTGATTTTAAGGATTGCTGCACATTTGGGAAAATAATGCCTAGGATGTGTCAGATAAAGTTGAATAATTGTAGGCTGAGGCTAAATATATATTGTAAATCTATGCTAAATAAATAATAGAACAAAGCTGAAGAAATTAGATGCGTTGGCATTCCTCTCAGATTGCTCCAATGTTTTAAATGCTGTCTCTTCCCCAGAAGCAAGCTCTACAATCGGTCCTTGGGCTTGTGGAACTGGAAGAGTTTTGAAAGCTCCATCTTTCTGGTTCATCATTACAGATGACTATGGAAGTCACCTAGACTCTCTGCTCTGAAGTCTATTTCTTTGCAAGCCCTAGATACGTTGGCTACTTCCTGCCTTTTTATTCCTGTTAAACAATGCCTCTCCTGGTTCCTGGAAAAATATATAGAGGCACCATGAGGAACCAAGACATTTTATCAAGATTTCTTTAATTGTCTTCACACTTCTTCCCCTATTTTTAGGTTTCTTTAAAACATATTTGTAAAATTACACTTCATGTTATACGCAAGTGCATTGTTTTCACTGTGAAATACTACACATAAGGTAACGAGGAATGAAAATTAAGTGGAGGATGCTTAAATCAAGTACTGTTTTGTCCCTTCAACTCCTGGTAAATATTTTTCAACACCCCATATACAACTTTTATGTTTTCATTTACCATTTTGAATGACCGTATATTCAAAATCCTGATAAATTCTTCAGTGTCTGTATTAAACATAGGCCTTTTATAACAACTTTCTTCCATTAAGCATATTTTTTCTTGTAGTTAATCCACTGTCTTCATATCATTCATACTTGCTTTCTATGGCCTCAACTACTTCTGTTTTAAAACAGAATTTTTTTCATGATGCCAATCACTGAATTGCCCTCAAGTTTTTCTATATTTTTTTTCATTAAAGCAATTAGGAACTGCATGCAACATTCCAGGTGACTAACACTGATTCGAGCAATGGGCCTTTTATTTTCTCCTCTCCCTTTTCTGACACTGTTTTCCTCTTGGTAGTCACTGGGTATTAAGCTGCCCTCAACTACATACAGGAGTGTCACTAAAACATGACAGAAAAAAAGATACAGAAACAATTTTTTCCAACATGTCCCCTTCTCAGAATCAGTCTACTTATTTGCAGAAACAAAATAAAAAATACTGAATACATTTACTTAAGACTAGAAAGGCTGAAAAAAAAATAAAAAGAGCCTATAAATACATCAGTTTAGTGCTCACCATCAAGGTCACTGATACAGTACATCCTCAAATAAAATCTCACAGTATGATATTGTTATGGTTTGAA